AAGGCTAAAGTTATGGCGTTCAAATATATTCTGCCTTGCATACTCCGTCAAACTTTAAGAAAAAACAGCATTTTTCTTAACCACAGTTGCTTTTATTCTTTTATTTCTTACTAATAATTTTTTTGGGGGGTAAAACGGGAGTAATATATATTACTCCATACATACTAAAGTAGTGATTACAGGCAGGGGCGGAGCTAGAGTGATAGAAGCGGGTTCAGCCGAACCCAGTAGCTTTAGTTCGAACTCTGTATTTCTTAAAAAATTCATTGAATATGTACAAATTATTAATTTAGAATCCAGTAACATCAAATGATTAGAATCACAAACCCATAAACTTGAAATCTTGGCTCCGCCTCTGATTATAGGTAGATCGTAGGGGCGCTAATTGTGCCATGCATAGTGATGGTATTAACATTACCAATAACATGCACAGATATTGCCAAGAGTTGCTAGGCTATTACATACAGTAGTATAGTCAAATCTCTCTATAACAACCTTATTTGTTCCAGATATTTTTGGATGTTATAGCGACTTGCAGTTATAGAGAACATATATTATAATAGAACATGAGATTTGGTTCCGAAAAAATTGACTTTTATCGAGAAGTGTTGTTATATAAAGATGTTGTTATAGAGATGTTTGACCGTAGATAATTCCTAGTTGTAATTACTATTCCTTCCTTGGCAAAACAAGGCCACATTATATAATTCCTCTTTGTCTCCTAAAAATCTCCACTACCCCAGGATACCTAAAATATATAATTGATCTAATGGATTATGAGGGGAAAAAAACTAAAAGGTCATTTGAATTGCATGTCAAGGAAATAGATCATTTTCCTTTTCCTTCATCTTTATCACAACTAAGGCCCATTAGTTTTTGTAATGTGGCAAACAAGATTATATCCAAAATTATCAGTATTAGGATAGCTAACATCCTTCCTAACCTAATTTCCGATAATCAATCAGGTTTTGTTAAAGGTAGACTAATCACTGAAAACATCCTTCTTGCTCAGGAACTTGTTCATGGTATCAAGAAAAACAATCAAGGGGGAAACATTGTCATTAAGCTTGACATGTCCAAAGCTTACGACAAACTCTCTTGGAATTTCCTCATGGCTGTGCTAAGAAGAATGAACTTCTCTGAAATTATAATAGATACCATCTATAAACTGATTTTGTAGAACTTGTATTCCATTTTAATAAATGGAACAAGACATGGATTCTTCAAGTCAACAAGAGGACTGAAACAGGGAGACCCTCTTTCCCCTTCGCTATTTATTATAGCGACTGGGGCTTTATCTAGGGCCCTTAACAGGCTCAATGAGAACAACCAATTCATTGGCTTCTCTATGAATCCTAAAGGACCCAAGATAAACCACCTAAGTTATACTGACGATTTAATTCTTTTCTCTTCTGGTGACAGGAAATCTATAAAGTTGCTAATGGAAATCCTTGAGGACTAACAAGATGCATCAGGCCAGGAGATCAACAATTTTTCCTAAAAAACAACCATGGAGTTGCCAGAAACAATAAAAGAACCATTAGAAGACTACAAAAATGCGGCTTTAAGCACATGCAATTCCCTTTTACATATTTTGGGTGCCCTATCTACATAGGCAGAAAGAGGATTTGCTACTTCGCAGACCTGGCCACAAAAGTGCTAAACAAAGCGGGAGGCTGGCAAGGGAAACTCCTATCATTCGGTGGTAAAGCTATTATCATCAAGCACATCCTTCAGTCCCAAACCTTATATCTGCTGTCAGTTATGGCACCTCCTAAGTCCATTATCAAGCAGATTGAAATGTACCTTGCAAATTTCTTCTGGGGAGAGAAAGAAGGTAAAAGGAGTTATCACTGGTGCTCCTGGGACAACATGAGCTATCCTACTGATGAGAGAGGTGTTGGATTCAAAAAGCTCCAAGATATATGCAACTCACTCGCAGCAAAAAGATGGTGGAGATTCAGGGTGGAAAATAATTTATGGACTAAATTTCTCCGAGCCAAATACTGTCAAAGATCCAATCCAATCTCAAAAAAGCTGGATCCTAAAGACTCCAATTCGTGGAGGAGCCTAATGGAGACAAGAGATAAAGTGGAAGATTACATTCATTGGAAGATCAACAAGGGNATACTAAGATCAAGGATTTCCTCAATAACCAAGGATGGAACTTGGAGCTCCTTCAAGAAGCTGTGCCTCAGAGAGTTGTTGATGAAATCGAGCAAATCAAGATTGGTTACAACGATATTCTCGACCAAGCAGTATGGACCCCCAATCCCCAAGGATCCTTTTCTTGTTCTTCCGCCTACCAGCTTCTAAGAAAAAGAAAGGATCCCTCTCCTCTCTTGGCCAAAATCTGGAATAAACATCTGCCTTTCAAAATCCCCTTTACTACATGGAGAATTCTGAAAGGCAGGCTACCCCTAGGTAACATAGTGCTGAAGTTTGGAACTAACAGTATATCTAGTTGTTGTTGTTGCAGGGTACCAGAAGAAGAATCCATGAACCATGTCTTCGCAACTAGCAACACAGCAAAAAAGGTATGGAACACTATGTCCACTCCACATGGATTTCGGACCATGGGAAGGAATATACCATGCATCATAACTCAATGGTGGAACAGACACCCAAAAAACAATGTCCATAAGTTTCTACTGCAAATCACTCCAACCATAATATGCTGGGAAATATGGAAGGCCAGATGCGGTAAGAAATATAGTAAGAAGACTATTTCTATTTTTAGAATATGTCAACAAGTTCTTTTTTAGGTAAAAGTTTCCATGGGCCAAAAATACAGCCAGATGGATTAGAATTGGACATGGAACAATGTATACAAGGTGGCAGAGGATTACAAGATTCAACTGAAGAGTATTATGGTTCTTTGGGAGCCCCTAACAATAATCAATGGAAAATAAACACAGATGGAAGTTTCTGCGCAAACGCAGGCAAATCAGGCATTGGGGGTGTTGTTAGGAAGAGAAATGGTCAAATGGTCATGGCTTTCTCCGCACCAGTACATTTCTTGACTAACAATTACTCTGAAGTGCAAGCCGCCTTGTTTGCTATTCTTTGGTGTTGTGATCACAACTGTCAAGAACTAATATTGGAATTAGACTCGCTCCTGGTTGTTAACATGATCCAAGGGAAATACAATACACCATGGAGACTAAAAGAGGGAGTCACACTTATTCAGCAAAAGGTGCAACAACATGGCATCAAGATAAAACATTGCTACAGGGAGGGAAACGAAGTGGCTGATGCTTTGGCCAAACATGCTGCTACTCTCACGCAACAGGCCATCTTCCTCAATGAAACTGAAATGCCTGCTGAGGCCAGAAATGCAATGACTATGGATAAAAGGCAGATTCCGAATTTCAGAATTAGACCAAAGAAGCACTCAGGATGGATATTTGATCCTCCTTAAAAGATAAGGAAAGAGCTACTGCTGTACCGAACCATATCATGTTATAGTAGCTCTTTTATAATTTATAGGCCTAGCAATTTTAGTTTTTTTTTCTAGATCAGTGTGACTTTATGAGGTTTTGGCCTTTGTCCCCCTCCTTGTACTATTTTGCTAATGAATAAACAGGGTAGGGGTCTATGCCAAACCCCCCAACACCACAGGAGATGAAAACCTGGGTGGATGGTTTAGTTAAAAAAAAATTAATATGCACACCTCTAAGTACGATTATGTAAGGCGAGTCCACATTCAAGCAAGATTTCACTATTGAGACATGGAAGTTCTTCTGTTTACACGGTCTCGCCAAGCTCATACCAAAAATCTCCAAAGAAACATACAACAGGATAACTAAATATAACAGAACACTTGAAAAAAAAGAAAAATATAACAGCACAAAATTATATCACCCGAAACTGCATTAAAATGAATAATTGAATACATCCTATACATATTCAAGCTAGAGCGAGGTTCCTTGACTTTCTTTCTTCCAGAGATATTTCTTCACTCTATAAGAAATGTACACAACTCTCATCATCTTGTGAAGAACCATCAAATGCATATGGACTCGAAGGAGAATGTGCAAATAAAAAAATGAAGAAGAGACAACATAAGCTTAAGAACCAAATAGAAATGCTAATTATTAAGAAAAAAAGGTGCAAAACCAGTTACTGTCATGTGCTACCAGCTCTGCCGGGGGCATTGGTTGATTTGAATTTTGAAAGGTCAACTAGGTCTCCGAACAATTTGTCTTGCGGCTTTGAGGGCTTTCCAGATGGCACATATGAAGGAGCGGAAACTGGATAGGAAGAATTGTTGAGGACACCATTGTCCCTCACAGAGAGCCCAGACATTCCTTGGTTAAGGAACTGAGTATTTTGTTGTTGAGCGTTACCATAACCATAACTGGCCATTTGGTTGGCATACATTTGCTGGGAATACATATAAGCCATGTGCCCAGATGGCATTTGTTGAGGAAACAAACCCCCTGGTTGCCCACCTTGGAATTGTTGAGGATACATGCCTTCCATCTGATTGCTTTGCATAGCCTGATTGCTCATTATAGCAGGCTGTCCAGCTGTGCCCGGATGTGCATACATACCATGGAGGTATGTTTGCTGTGCGTTGGCTGCAACCAGCTGATTATTTTGCGGTGATACAGCATGTGAACCGCCAGGCATCATCTGATTATTGTGCATTGCTAAAGCTTGTGAACTACCTGGCATGGGATTATTTAGCATCGATTGAGCATGAGGGCTACCTGCTATTTGGCTTTCTTCTGCCTCAGCTTCCCACGGAGGAAGTGGAAAAGGATTAGTGCTTTGAGTTCCTATTGAGAAATTGAATAAGATATAGCTATTCAGAAACTGAATGAGTAAGAGTCTTAAAACATGGCAATTCACATTACTTGAACAAGGAAAGGATCTTAAACAATAGGTAAAGGGGGCTTTAAGCATTAACGGATAAGGATATATATTGAACTCTTCCCTACTATGACTTCTATCTAATAGGTCGTTTTTTAGGCAATAGGCACACAAAAGCTCAAAAGGACAAAATTCGAACTAGGGTTTAACACACCAGGCCTTTTCCAGCTTGCATGCACCTCGACTAATCCATCAGGTAGATTATCCAGACAACATGCACAGGTTGCCAAGGTACAAAACGGGCATGTCTCCATAATATTTCTTTTGTATTTTTATCATGTCCTCAATACTGTATTTAAGTGGAAAGCACGCAGGATAACAAAGGAATCACCATAACCTGGAGAAGCTGGCTGTTGTTGCTGTGACATCTGCCCATTCCAGTCAGGATTGGAGCCTTGGGCGTAGGTCATACCAGGGACACTTCCATTTGGGTACAAAGATGGTTGCACAGAATGAAAATTCTGTTGTTGCTGAAATTGAGGGGATGAAGGATTTGCCTGACCAACTGAATAAGTAGAGGGGGTGGTGCTTGGCTGCGAAAACATGTCGAGAATAGCAAGGGCATTCTGCTGCGAAGGACTTGCTGGTTGAGGTTCTCCAACAGGAACAAGCGCAAGAGCATTCTCAGCTGTCGGTGAGTCAAAGTCTCCGCTCAGAAGATCCATCTTAGGGTCAACTTTTGCTGGAGTTGCTGATGTAGGAGCAGGAAGAAGCAACTGTGTCCCTAAACTAGCAATTGGTGTAGATCTGGAAAGCACAACATATATGCCTTAGATAAAAAACAAATTTCTTCCAACCTGACCTGTTAACACTCTGAAACTTAAATCAATACCCGTCAGTTCTTATTCCTTTGGGTTTGGTGGGGTGAGGGGTGAGGGTGGGTGGTTTCAGTTAATATTTCTTACAACAGCAAATATGTTCAACTACATAACTTTGTTAAAATCTGAATTTAATTGACAATACACTTGCAGGTCAAATTTGTTCTAGACAAATATTTGATAACTATCTATACAATTCATGTCTGATGATTTTAGGCATGACAAACTGATATCCATATCTCAGTCCTTGAGAACCAAACCACTAATTCAAAAGTCAATTGTAGTAAGAAGTGAAACACTTAACAAAGTACATTGATTGGCCAAAAAAATAACAAAACTAAGTTACCCTTGGTCTGACTGGTTGCTGGTTCCAGTATCAATAAGAGGAGCATCAACATCTACAAGGGATCGAGCAGCTTCAGGTTTTGATGATTCGCCTTTAATAGAAGTTCCTGATGCAATAGCTTCATGCTTGGCCAATACACGCTGTAAGTCATCATTCAGCGATAGTCCTTGGCATAGCAGCGACTCATCCCTGGATCAGGTAAATGTAAGGATTCACAGGAACAACACCTGTGGCGCGTAAAAAAGATGGGAGAACAGAAAGGACAGACAAAATGTCCATCTTAAGTTCAAAATTGTTTTAAGTTCAATAGTAACTGTAAACACGGCCAGTTTCAGCAAGTTCCAAGAAGTTAATGAAAAACCCATCTCTGAAAAAAAGTTAACTCAAATTACTTGAACTTTATAGTATATACTAGTTCGTGGGCACGCACGTTGCACGTGTACCCCCATCAATAAGTATAATTTTTTTAAGAATTACATAAATAGTTAAATACTACAACTTTCGTCTCATTTTACGTAGCTTTATTTGACTGAACACAAATTCAAGAGAAAAAAATTTGAAAATTATGATATAACACAATCCAGAGACATTTGTGTCTATAAATTCTCATTAAAGCTGAATTGTTTCTAAATATAAGAATTATGTCATTCTTTTTGAAACAGACTAAAAAAAAATACCACATAGATTGGTACAGAAGAAGCATAAAATCATGTATTTGAGTTACAAAAATTCAACTCTCAAAAATGGATGTCGAATTCAATTTAACTAATTCAATAAAGGAAGAAACTGTACCACACAAAAGTCCTGAAATGCCTTATTGAATTATCCAAATATCACCAAATTTCACTAAAATAACATAAACGCCACCTTTCCATCAAATTGACTCGCAGATTTATAGGAAAAAGAAAAAATAACTATGTGAAAATGATACACGAGTCTATTATAATATATATTCTTATTAAGGCAGTAATAAAAGGCAAAAAGTAAAAATTGGTTAAAAACTTTTAGTAAGAGTTTACCATCTGGATTTAACTACAAAAGAATATCCATATAATTGATGAATCAAAAAACAAAGCAAAAACAAACAATTAACTAGAGTTCCCCTAAAGAATAAAAAGCAACCAGTCCCATATAATAAGTGCTTAGTAATTTATCTTCCAGGTCCAAATATTGCATGTTGGATGTAAATTTAAAGGAAAAAAATAATTTTAGGTCAAATTTTTTTCTGTTTTTTGTCTAGAGATATGATGTTTCCGCATTTCTGTTTCCACAGAGATGTTCCTCTCAATTTGTTTCGACTTTTCAACCACACTTAACTTTTCATTTTGAAAAATCTCAAACAAACACTTCTTGCAAAAAAATAAAAAAACTGACAATTAAATGACAATGATTAGATATAAATTGTACCTTTGCAATAATTAATGGGAAATGAAAGTACTTTTACTTTTATTGGTAGTTGAATTTACTATTTGGTAATACAAAAATATTACAAGAAATTAAGAGAGAGATAAAAATGTCTTTTGGTTTTTGATGGATAATTTGGAAATTCAACTTTAAACTTTGGCCTTCGTACTCATAATATAGTATACATGAATATGCATATATAAACAATAGATGGGAGATGAATGTTCGGCCATCAAATTTTATTCCTAGCAAGAACAAACCCAGGTTATACGTGTCAGAAGCTTCAAATGAATATTTACACTGACCCTTTCATTAGAGAGAGAAATATTCTCTAATTATAAGGGTTAAGGTTAATATAAGAAAAAAGAAGCATATCACAATATCCAGAAAAAGTCACGAGAATCAGACAAGTAAAACGAGGCCTTACGTAGTCGAGTTTACAAGGTGTACCAATCTCTGCTTGTAGGTACGGCATTGTTCCACCAAATCAACAATGACCTCTTGTCTGAGTTCCTGTAACCCCACAGTGCAAATATGTTGCATCAAATATAAAAAGGACAGAACTCATTAAAAATTAACTGAACAGGAATGAAAATATCTTAGAGGTGAATATTCCCTTCCTTTCAGTTTTTGTCTGCTCTAATTCGCATCTAACTTTGAAAATCTCAATTATTGAATCAAAATCTTTAGTCTCAAAACTTCAATAAACTAGCAAGGGGGCATATCCCTTTAGACATACTATGCATATGGATTTTACCTCTTTGTTTTCAGGACCTAATGCATTCAGCATTTCAGTAAGGACATCCATAATACCACGTGCATTCTGGATCTCCGTCAAGCTAGCAATAGAAACATGCAGAAAAGAACCAAAGAACATTAATTATCATAGCAAGATAACCTAACAGAAGAAAGATAAGTAATACAGCTATCAGATGGCATTCACCAGCACGTGAAAATCATCTTTTCTTTCCTTTTTCAAATAAAAGATGTGTCGACTACGGGGAGGGTGATAACAAGTGTTTTAAAAGGAGAGGGCGCAAGGCGAAGTATTTTATCAAGTACGGGGCGAGGCGTAATCCCCGTGGATCTTATTATTGTATAATTCAATAGCACATAAATATTTTTAAAATACGAGAAACATACAATATTTTTTAGAAATCAAAATTTATCAAAAAGGCAGGAGATTTTAGTATAATCCATAGACATGCTCAATAAAGTAGAGGTTATAACTTCTAATAGACCAGTCAATAAAGTAGAAAGGAACTTTACTAAGAAAACTTTCTTTGCAAATATAACTAAAAGAATTTCCAGTCAATAAAGTAGAAAGGAACTTTACTAAGAAAACTTTCTTTGCAAATATAACTAAAAGAATTTCCAGTCAATAAAGTAGAAAGGAACTTTACTAAGAAAACTTTCTTTGCAAATATAACTAAAAGAATTTCTTCTCTCCCGTCCTCTCGCAGTAGTTTAAGCTAACATGCGCCGATCAAGTCAATGGCAGGAAAGAAGTCTCGCGGCAGTCCTAAGAAGGAACAAATCAAGGTGGATGACAAAATTCCAAAACTCAACCACAGGAGGAAGCCCGTCAGCTGTTATGGAGTCCATTTCTGGAGCCTCAAAGACCCAGGTAGGATCTGGCATCCTCACTCAGATCCCTTATGTTGGAGCTTCTGCTTTGGCTAGTCAACAGCAAAAGCAGGCAAATCAGAGTCCTATTTCTCTGCATGTTGACCTAAGGGGTAGTGTCACACCTCCGATTTCTCAAGTAGTGACTGTTTAATTGAGTAGTAAGGAGCAGGAGGTTGCAACTCAAGCACCATCACCAGCACCAGTTACTGTTACATTGCTTGAGGAGCCTAAGGAGTCTACTTTGGCAGGATTACTCACCGGTAACAGATCATCAGCTAATGGTATGGCCTTGAACTGCATAACCCCTAAGCTTGTAGAAGGGAATCTAGTAGCTAAGCTTGAGAAATCAGAACTAGAGAAGGAAGCTCTGAAATGGAAGTGTGCCCTAATTATCTCTGTAATTGGGGAAAAACCAGGGTATAACTATATGCGTAGATACATAAATCAGACGTGGAATACAGTGTCTATGCGGGATTTATACTATCATGATGATGGTCATTTCATTGTCAAGTTCCAATCCATGGCAGATATGAAAGAAATTATGTGTTCCGGTCCATATACAGTTAATAATAGGCCCATGATTATGAAGCAATGGACTCCACAATTTGATTTTGGCTCAGAACTTCTGATTTGAGATGCCACTATGGGTAAGATTTCCTAAGCTTCCTATGAACCAGTGAAGCAGATATGGAGGTGAGTTGCAAGATGATGCAATGTTTTAGGGCAGTGGGAGAGTGTCATTGCTTTCCCCGTCAGCCCATTTTCACAGTAGGAAAAAAAAGGTCAACATATGGATTTTGAATCACAGAGTCATCTTTTTCGCAAATTCTCTCCCCTGCAATTTCCCTCAAAATTTCTCCCCGTGTCCTTCTCATGGTTTTGAAAATTCATTTTCTTCCCCAAATTACCGACATTCGAAACCCAAATACAATTTTCTTCAATAGTGTATTTGGAAGGGGTCCCATGTCCAGCAGATGAAAGTAGCGGAAATAAGAATGTTGAGATGGATGTGTGGGCATACTAGGTTGGATAGAATTAGGAATGAAGCTATTCGGGACAAGGTGGGAGTGGCCCTATGGAGGCAAAGATGCATGAGGCAAGGTTGAGATGGTTCGGGCATGTTAAGAGGAGAAGCACAGATGCCCCAGCCATGAGATGTGAGAGGTTGGCCTTGGGAGGTGAGAGGGGGGGTAGAGGTAGGCCAAAGAAGTCTTGGGGAGAGTTGATCAGGCAAGACATGAAGCAGTTTGAGCTAACCGAGGACATGACCCTAGATAGAAGGGTGTGGAGGTTGAAGATTAGGGTAGAAGGTTAGTAGGTAGTCATGCGTTTCCCTTTGTCTTCTCTAGTTCGATAGTATTAGTGCTAGTATCTATGTTGTTCGGACTCTCCGAAAATATCGCTGGGTGTGTGTCGGATTCTCCAAAAGCAGTGTATTTTTGGAGAATCCGACACGNAGTAGTACTTCGTTCATATTCTCGTGTGTTGCCTTGGATTTATTTCTCTAAATATACTATCTTGCTGTTACTTGTTATCGGTACCCCTTTCATATTCTCTGTTGCTATCTTCGATTTAGTTTTCTAATTATTTGTCTTGCTATTACTTGATATCAGGGCTTCCTTCACCTTTTTTAGCCGAGGGTCTATCGGAAACAGTCTCCCTGCGCTTCCAGGGTAGGGGTAAGGCTGCCTACATCCTACCCTCCCCAGACCCTACTTGTGGGATTATACTGGGTTGTTGTTGTAGTAGTGTATTTGGAAGGGATTGGACCTATCTTCTTCTTCCATCCCCGGAGCCCATTGTTCTCAGCAAATGAAATTGAAGCAATACGAAACTATTTTATTTACACAACCACGGATACTTTCCAAGTTGGTGAAATAGTTGTGGTAAATAAATAAACCCTAATGTTCTCTTCTTCTTCTTTAGGATTTTGCCCAACATTTGCTTGAGTCTTCTGCGTGCACCCTGTCAGTGAGGAGTAATACACGTCTGCCCGTACGTCTTAGTGAATGGGCCGCCGAATCTGCGCCACCTCCGCCTTAGGGCAGTTTCTGACCGCCTCGCCCCGAGACGCACCTTTTTATGCACTGGTCACAAAACCTACCCTCCCGTGAAGAATGGAAGAAACAGTGCAGATACAGAAGTTTCACAAGAAAGTAAACCTTTTAAGGAAAAAGAAAAAGAAAAAGAAAGCAAGAAGTGCCCCTCTAGCCTAACAAGATTGACATCTCAACAATTTTTTCTCAAGACTTGGGACACAATATGGAATAAGTTAGAAATATCTAAGGTTTGACTACAAAAACGGCATGTAGGATCATAATATCATATAAAAGATAAATAAGACAGAATTACTATGTAAGGAGACTTAAATGACAACTAGAAGTTAGTTCAGATTAGCTTAATATTGAAAATTGAGTCCACATGTGAGGAACGTAGCTCAAAAAAGATACCCCATAAATCCATTTTGCTAAATCCACACGTATCATACGCAGCACATTTTCGTGAGTGGAAACTAAAGCAATAAAACTACATATGTTATCCTTATGGTATATTGTTATTCATACCTGTTATGAATAAACTGTTCCCACAATTTATAACAGAACAGAATGTCAATAAGCAACCTAAGAGAAAACCCTGTATAGTTTGAAATAGCAGTACGATCAATAGGTTGTTATTGTACATTGTAAACCCGTCGGAGTCATTTCTACCACTTTCTGCTTCTTAAAGATTTTCATATAGCTTCAAAGTACTCGGATCAAGATCTGGTAATGCAGGTTTACATTCAACGGACATTGCATGCTAGGAAGACAAGAGATTTACTAGAAATCGAACTCAGAGGCTTTTTGCCTCTTAGACACCTTTGAGGGATAAGATGGTACTAGCACTAACTGAAGAAATTAGTGTAGTCCTAAGCCTCTTGTAAGCTCAAACTGTCCAGACGCTAAAGAGTAATAAAATTCAGATTTCTCAGGTTGAGCTTGTCCATGAGAAAGTGTCAAGCCATGCACTATAAACGACTAATCTATCAAGGCAATGCAAGGATAACGGGAGCATTTTCCTACACTGATCCTCCATTCTCATATTGTCCCACCAACTAACCTAAGCTACGTTTGCTGAGAGCTGGGCAACAGAATTAAAGAAACAGAAAGAATGTTGGAAATTCCCCAGTAAACAAAAATGGTCATAGTTTAACATCTTCTTTATATTAATAGAAAAACAGTCACCTCAAGGTGGGATATTCAGCATCTGCTGAAGACTCTGCTGTATCCTGTCTAGATTCAGGCTTCTGAAGATTCTGTGGATCAGATGCAAGTGGATGTGTTTGAGGAGGTGTGAACACAGGTGCTGATCTCTCAGATCTCTGAGGGAATACGGCTCCAATGCGCTGAAAGTCAAGCAATACATTTGCAAAACATCATGTGAGGTGTCAAACAAACATATAGAAAGTACATAATACCAGCATGGACAAAACTCCAAGTATTAGTGGAAGTTCAGTCAGTACAGAAAAGCATTTGGTTTTGGAATTTTAGCAACCAACACCAACCAATTACCAACTGGTATAAACCATTAGTATTGTTTGCAGAGGTCACAAAATGATTCATAAAAGGCCCCATAAAAACTTTAAGGAAAAAAGAACTTTTACCCTCCAAGTGAAACCCTATTTAATTACTGCTTAACTAACTTTCCAAGAGAACTTTTACATTTGCAAAACATTTTTTATGAATTGAGGTGTCAACCAAGCATAAATAAAGTATTATCATAGCAACTGGGCATGGACAAACTCCAGTTAATTGTATAAGTTCAGTCAGTACGTTCAAGCATTTTGTTTTGGAATTTTAGCAACCAACACCAATCAATTATCAACTGGTACAAACCATTAGTATTGTTTGGAAGGCGTCAAAATAACTTTTGATAACCGATAAATCCCCGAGAGCCAATGGTGCATGGTTCAAAACTCAGAGGATAATGGGCTATCCCTCTACTCTTCTCCACTTAAATACCAAGAAACTGTTGTCTGCAAAAGGGTTCAAACCCATGACGTGTGCTTACACCCACAGATCATGTGATGGGCTCTCCACACGACGGACCCATAATGACTTACTCAAGGAAAAGAGAACTTTTACTCTCCAAGTAAACCCTATTGATTATAGAGTTGCTGCTTAGGTGATAAGTTAGAAAACTGAATTTTTATGTCTGGAGCCATACAGAACTTGTCGGGGTGCTCCGTCACATAAATACAAATAATGTCAACCCCTAATAGTGATGAAAATTAACTTCAAATGTACACCTAATAGAAGAGTTAAAAACAATCTTACCAACAACTCCTGGTAGGATCCATAATATTGTGGATATCTCGCCCTTGGTCCTCCAAAAGCTTCTTGCCAAGTGTCTACCAAAGTTAATATCTTTTCCCTGACGTAAAAGTCGGGCTGCTTTTGCAAAACAGTATAAGATTGATGCCAGAAATTTATGGGGGTGGGGGGTAACATAACATGAGGGAGGCTTAGAGTCTGCAATCACCTTCTTCTTTACAATTTTCACCATCTGGTGAAGAAGACCTTTCTCAGCAACATGCATATGCACAATGTCCCCACAATTCTTCACAATTGCTTCCAATAGCTGAAAAATGGTAACATCTCAGGTTAACCGTGAGTCCAGCTAATTTTTTACTTTGCAGGCCAAGCAAAGAGAATAACAAAATTCTCAAGTAACAGCATAAACCCCTATAAAACTGAAGTGATAAACAAATGCAGCCAACCACCTATTTATTTATGATTAGTCAAATATATTTTACAACATAAATACACCAAGATGGTTAAAAAACACTTGGAGAGACCAAGAAAAAGTCAAACTGTAGATAATTAGATAAAAAGTAAGAAAAAGTCAAGTACACCGGAGAGACCAAGACAATTTACAAATCCAGCCGTAGGATTCTTGAGGTTAATAATAGGAACATTGAGGCAACTAGGCGACTACACAATGAAGAGAAACCAATACTCTGTGTTGCTAGAGCTTTATTAGTAGTAAAAGTAGCATATTGGTTCAAGTATTTCATTATATCAGCACTTTATTAGTCTTCCAACATAATCATATGTTGATTAGCATGACTCAAGGAGATTTGATTTTATTTAGGAGATTGTTGATTAGCATGATTTCAGAAGATTTGATTATATAGATTTTATTTGATAGCTAGATTCATTGTATAGATTTATTTGATTTTCTTAATTAGCATTAGGAGCTTTGTATAAATTCCCTTGCTCATGGGATGTAAACATACACAGAAATACAAGAAATCTTTTCTTCTTCTCAAAATCTATATGGTATCAAAGTCAATGTTGTCTTTTTGAGGTGAGTTATCTCCCTCATAGCACTAGGGTTCTATTTTTATTAAAGAGGTCAAGTTTTCTCTCTCTTGGTGCTTGTCCGCAATACGAACTCCTTCTGATCAATTTTGTTTTTGGCATTTTCTTTTCTATTAGGTCACCGGAAACACTCCAAGACTATCCCTACCAGTTTTGATTTTTCCATTCATCGGAATTAAGGTTCCATTGAAACAAATTTGGTTTCCAACGAGGCAGATTATTTTTGAGCAATTTTCTTCGGATTTCCTTATGATTGGGTAGAAATATGGAGACAGTTAAGGAGACGGTTTCTGGAGAAATCTTGTCTTCGGATGCAACTTCTCCATCGCCTCCTAGCCAAACTTGACTCCGCTAATGTTGCAACATCCAATCATGTGCAATAAGGTACTGTTTTTGCTACTCACTTTAATTCTTGGATTGTTGATTCTGGTGCAAATAACACCTATCTCTGGAACAGGTTCTATCGCCCGTACTCCTAATATTAAACTATCATTTGTGCTCCATGTCCCTGAGTTCTTTGTCAATCTTTTATCTGTTAGTGTCATCACCAAAGCTCTAATCTGTAAAATTGAGTTCTTTCCTGATCATTGTGTTTTTCAGGATATTCAAATAGGGAAAAGGATTGGCAGTGGTAGATTGCGTGATGACTTGTATATTAGTTGGAATTTAAAACTCTGGTCAAGCCTTTTTTGGGGAAAGTAAGGATGTCAACCAAGAAATAATACAGTGGCATAGACAGTTAGGACATCCATCATTCTTTGTTTTGAAGAAGTTACGTCCCGATTTGTTTTCAAGGACTCAATTTGAATCTTTGTTTTGTGATGCGTGCGATATGCCTAGTATACTAGAATCTCTTATCCTGTGAGTGATAATAGAAGCATAACTCCGTTTCTGACTATTCATTCTTATGTATGGGGTCCTAACCAAACTGTTTCTTTGTCCGGTAGTCAATGGTTTGTTACTTTCATTGATTGTTGCACTAGGATGACTTGGGGTATATTTGTTAAAAGCCAAAAGTGAAGTTTCTCTTATTTTCAGTCATTCAATAAGATGATTTGTACTCAGTTTGATCCCAAAATAAAAATCTTGAGAATTGAAAATGGCAGCGAATACATGGATAAAAGATGTGGTGCTTATTTGGAGTCCAATTGGATAGTCCATCAGACTAGTTGTCCTTACACTAGTGCACCAAATAGGGTCGCTGAAAGAAAAAATAGCCATTTGTTAGAAGTAGCAATGTTCACTATGCATCTACCAAAACCTTACTGGGGATGCTATTCTAGTGGTTGTCTATCTTATCAACAGAATGTCAATACCACTTAAACCCCTCAATTTTCAAAGTCCTCCGGAAGCTTTAAAGGGTAAGGATAAATATATTGTTCCTCCAAAGGTGTTTGGGTGTGTTTGCTTTGTCCACTCTAAGAATTCTAGGAAACTTGATCCTAGAGATATAAAGTGTGTTTTCATCAGTGTTTTGTATCACGAGAGACGACAAAAAATGACGAGCGCCCGCTTCATTGAGGCGAGAAGCGAAGCGCTCGCCTTTTTGAAGTGAAGCGCCAATTAATACAAAAATTAAAATTTAAAATTCGCATATATAAATAACCAGAAACTCGAATTTGCATATAATTAAGTTAATAAGCAATTAATTGTATACTAGAACTGGAAAAATGCAGGTAAAACAAAAATACTGAGCAATAAAAGATGCAAATCAATTGAGCAAAAAACTCCAGAAACAACCGAAAATCAGTTGCAAAAAGCCGGAAATGAGCTGCTGCCGGAAAAAGAGAAGAAAGAAAGAAGTAAGAAGAAGAAAGAAAAAGAAGAAAATAGAAGAAAGAAGAAGAAGAACAAGAAATAAAAAACAGAAGAAAAGAGCAGTTTGCTGCCGGAGATGCTGCCGGAGATGCTGCCGGAAAATTGAGACAGCTGGAAAAAGAAAAGAAAAGAAAGAAGAAAGAAGAAGAAAATTGGTCGAAGAAGAAAGGAGAACACTACCTGGAGTTTGTTGTGTTTGTGGGAGAAGAAGAAACCAAACCCTAACCTGCATTTGTTGCGCAAATAGAAGAAGAAACTCTATTTTTTGCTTTTAAGTCATTGAGCCTCATTTTAAATTTCTTTTTTTTCAAAAAGCGTCGCAATAGGTCGCCTCTTGCCTCTCAGCGCTTCTCGCCTTTCAGAGAGAAGCGCGCACCTTTTCTAAAACGCAAAGCCTCGCTTCACATCGCCATTCGCTATTAGCGACATAGCGCTCGCTATTTACAACACTGATTTTCATTGGGTATTCTCCGACACAAAGAGGTTACAGATATTATCATCCTCCCTTTAGGAGATCTTTTGTTAACATGAATGTTAATGTTCGAGAATGAGAGCCCTATTTCAGTATTATCTCATCACCCCTTTAGGGGGAGAGCAGTAATGAGGAAGAGGTGATTCTACCTAGTTCTATTACTGGGCCTCTTGATGACATTGTCGAGGGGAAAGTGAAATTGGAGAAAGAATTCAGAGGGAGACCATTGGGCATTTGGATAGGCCTGATTTGAAAACTTACTCAAGGAAAAGTAGAGCAGAAGAAGCTAGCATGCAATCTACCGAAGCTGAACCATCTTCTACTGGGGAGTTATCTACATTTTCTAATGAGTTAGATGTGCCTATTACTCACAAAAAAGGAGTCAGATCTTGCACCTGCAAATACTCTTTATTTGATTTTGTCTCCTATAATTCTTTGTCTCCCTCCTATAGAGCATTTGCCTTCTTTATTTCTTTTGTGTCTATTCCCTAAAATTGGAGAAAAGCTTTTGCATAACCTAAATGAAAGAAGAAATGAAGGCCTTGTCAAAAAAACAAAACTTAGTAACTTGTCATTTCACCACCAGACAAGAAGTTGGTTGGTTGCAAATGGTTCTTCACTGTGAAGCACAAAGTTGATGGCTCAATTGAAGATTCAAAGCAAAATTGATGGCCAAGGGATTCACTCAAACTTATGGAGTGGATTATCAAGAGATATTTGCCCTTGTTGCTAAGATGAACATTGTTAGAATTTTTTGTCTTGTGTAGCTAATCCTGATTGGGACTTGCAACAGTTTGATATAAAGAATGTATTTCTTCACGGAGACTTAGCAGAAGAGGTGTATATGGAGATTCCTCTTGGATTTAATACTGCATAAAGTCAAGAAAAGGTATGCAGATTGAAGAAAGTTTTGTATGGATCCCCCGACCTTGGATTGACAGACTCAACAAAGCAATGATCTCCTTCAATTACCAACAAAGCAATGTTCATCACACCCCCTTCCTAAGATATCAAACGAGTAAACTCACTCATCTCATAGTTTATGTTGATGATATAGTAATGACATGAGATGACAAAGAGGAGATGGCCCGATTGAATAAGTTGTTGCCACAAGAATTTGAGATCAAGGATCTAGAAAAGTTGCAATACTTCTTGGAAATTGAGGTTGCTAGATCCAAAAGAGGAATCTTTATTTCTCAAAGGAAGTATATTCTGGATCTCTTGAAACAAACTGGTATAACATGTTGCAAACCCGTAGAATCAAGCAATCACAAGTTACAAAGCGGAGTTGGAGAGCCAGTTGATAAGGAGAGATATCAGAGGCTGGTTGGAAAACTCATTTATCTCTCCCACATTAGACCAGACATAGCCTATTTTGTTAGTCTGGTGAGTCAGTTCATGCATGATCCCCGAAATCCCCATATGAAAGTTGTCTTTCACATTTTGCAGTATCTGAAGTCTGCTCCGAGGAAATGTCTATTTTTCTCCAAACATGATCACCTCAACATAGAAGCCTTTATAGACGCGGATTGGGTTGGATCTCCATATGACAGAAGATCTACAATTGGTTATTGTACGCTCGTAGGAGGAAACTTGATTACTAATAAAAGCAAGAAACAAAGTGTAGTTACTAGATCAAGTGTGAAGGCAGAAACAGAGTTATGGCCCAGGGTGTTTGCGAACTGCTTTGGCTACAAAAGCTATTAGAGAAATTAAGACTGTCTGAAAAAGGAAAACTTTTCTTGCACTGTGACAATAAAGTTGCCACCAGTATGCTCATAATCCAGTCCGGCATGACCAAACAAAGCATGTGGAAATTGATCAACGTTACAAATATTGTCTTGAGTTTGTTTCATGTACCATCGGAAAAATAGCTAGCTGATGTGTTTAACGAAGGTCTCAACAAGCGAACTTTCCATACTTTAAGTTGCAAGTTGGGCATGTGAGACATCTTTGCACCAACTTGAGAGGGAGTGTTGATTAGCATGATTCAAGGAGATTTGATTTTATTTAGGAGATTGTTGATTAGCATGATTTCAGAAGATTTGACTATATTTAGAAGATTTTATTTTATTTTATTTTATAGCTGAATTGATTGTATAGATTTATTTTATTTCCTTTATTAGTATTAGGAGCTTTGTATAAATTCCCTTGCTCAAGGGATGTAAACATAACAGAAATATAAAAAGCCCTTCTTCTTCTCAAAATCTACATCATATCTTCTTGTTGCTAATAGTAAAGGAGAAATAGTGAACATATAAAGAAGAAGGCGGAGAGATAGCACATTGACAAATGAATGTAGATGGAAATCTTAGCTCTCTCATTTAAAATAAATAAAAGAAAACTAACAAAAAAGATGGAAGGTAAGGACTTGACAATCCATATAGTTTAAGCAATTTGTGGATAAAATAGTTTCAAACGCTTACTGTCAGGGCGAGTAGCTGGACTTTTGGTTTCTTACTGCGAAGACGCTTTTTTATTCCTTTCACAATATCTTTGGCTTGCCTGGTGAACCAAAATAAAACAAATAATAAGAACTACTTTAACCAATCTCCGGTCCAAACAAAGCAAACACCTCAATGATTATACCAAACATTTGATATTAGAAAACAAAAGAAAAAGGGGAAATTGCATTGAGCACCGCAGCATGACACCACTGGAGTTTATATTATGAAAATACTAGTAAGTCCAATAAACACTATCTCAATTTTCATTAAAATAGGTCAGTAAAGAGGCTAGAAGAACCTCATATCTTAATTTTACTAAATTTAAATTTTAAAAAAAAAGTGTAATTAGAAGTTTAGGTCGTCCGAAAAAGAATGGACTTGCTGAAGAGACTTGATGGCAATTTATTTGTTAGGTTAGCAAATAATTAACGAAATGCTTCACCAATAAAAATCTGTCAATACTAGATTAATACCCTGTTTGCTTGGACCTGCACCATTTTTCCTTTTGGTCATCTCAACTAAAATAATTAACGCATGAAATGCCCTCAGGGATTGGCTCCTTCCACTGGAAATGTGAGGTTGCATCTTCAAGATGATTATAGTCTCATATATGATAATCTACCTATCAAACAAATACAGGAAATCCAGTATTTATTTGTCTACTTTCACCACCAAAAAAGAGAAGAGAAAAATATCTTCGTCTTCCCTAAAACCCTTTTAATCCCGGAAGAAAGACTCTCATGAGAGTGTTATAATATACTAGCCTCTGATAATAGCTTAGTGCGTAATTAAAAATAGTCAGATGTCATATAATAACCAGCAGCACCAGAAACGTGAGGGCACTCCAATTAGGAAACATAAAAAGATGTAGCAATTAGCTACCAGATAATCTCAGCACAAACCAGTAAACTGCGATAAGAACAAAATTGTATCTGATAGGTAAGATACCATAGCGGCTGAAGGACCGAAGATAAAAAAGTAAAAATACAAAACAAAACAAAAAATAAAAGAAAAAACAACATAAATAGAAAAAGGAATAAGCGTAGTCCCTCTAGCGCCTATACGGACAATTTGGAGAAAAGGAAATAGGAAAACTTTTTTTTGTTGATCGTTAATACTGACACCACTTGTCACAACAAGCTCTGGTCCAAAGGTGAAGCGCCTTACTTATTAGAGTGAGGTTGACGTTTTGATTCTCTAGCTCAAAATTTTACACGTATTTTAAAGTTTTGCCCCTTATCTCAAAGGAAAAGTTTGTTGTCATGCTTGACCCGGCCGACCACTCACTGTTTAAGTGCAAAACTAACAACCGGATCTAGAAAGTAACTCATTACCAGTGTTGATAATAAATAATTTAAAAAGTTTGGAACGGAATCATCCAAGTTAACTAAAAATTAGTAATAAAATTTGAATTGTGTCTTTTTTATATTGTGTCAATTAGAGTGACTTGTTCATTTGTTTACTTTTTAAATGTCGACACTGCCTGCAAAAAATCCTGCATACACAGCTGCTGAAACACATTTGAACCCTCTATTAAACTAAGGATCTAGCAAGATTGAACAAGGAACGCTCAAGGAACATTACAGTTAAATCGGTATCAATAAGGTCTGCTGCAATTATAGATCAACTGTTTCCATCTTAGTTTCTTCTTCAAAAATTCATCTAAAGAAAAATTACTTTTAAAGCACCAGACAACCAACATGAATTGTGATCTCTTTAAAATCCTACATTCCAGCTTCCCACAAAAACAGAGATTACAGTAACACATGGCAAAACAATGACCCTCAAATGTAGCACCATATAAAGATGCAAACCTAGTTTTTGAACTCGCTCTATACAGTCCAGCACAGTCCCACAATCACAGCAAGATACTACTAAAATCAATCAATCAACTATGCCTCAATCCATAACGAGTTGGGTCAACTATATCTCCTTTGTATTACCTTTGGGAAAACTATGTCAATCCTCTATATCCATTCCGGTTAACTCGAGGCCACTTCATTCCAATACTAGCAAATAATTCTCTAAAACCTTTAGTTTTTATATTTCACCCTCAATTCAAACTAGTCGGGATCGACTATATGAACCCTTTGTGCCCATTCCACTCTATTCAAGACCATTTCTTCAATACTGGCAACTAATTTGTCTTCTTGGACATGCCTTTATCGCCACTTTTTAATTGACGGTGTTGTATAGGCCAATTTGCATGTATCTCGATTATCCACCAACCTGCATCCTCTCATAGGTACTGAATAACTTTGTCCACCAAGATTTAGACAGATGTGAAGAAATCACTTGATCCTTCTAGCACTACTAGGATTCAAATCCCTGTCTCCCATGGTCTTAATTTCAACCTTATCAACCATTAGGCTAAGCCTTTTTTTTTTAAATCTAACTAAGCCTCTTTTTTTTCATAATAGAGAAATCTCTTGTTTTGAGCTTCCAAACTCATTCTAGGCCTTTTGTCTAAGATCAAGCGTTAGAATTTGTCTTTTATGACAAAAAAAGGTTCCCTAAAACTAGAAGTTCTTTAAATCTCACACTTGTCGCTACGCTGACATAGAAGTCTCCAACCAGAGATTACGACTATAGAAAACTTACAACTTTTTTCACTTACATATATTCAGCAAAACAGAAAACTGACTCATACTTTTTAAAAAAAAATAGGTAAAAGAAAAAATATTTACATGCAAAAGCAGAGAAACAAATTACTCCCTCAGTCCCAATAATGTGACTTTGTTTGATTGTGCGATGCAACTTGTGGTCTAAAATAAGTCATAAATACTTGCGCGGCTAAAAATAAAGGTAAAATGAGAAATTTAAAGTAAAATTATTTCTAATTCTAGAAACGTATCATATTTTGGAACAGAAATAAGAAAATATATCACACAAATTAGGATGGAGTACTATTTTTTGAAACTAAAGGTTTACATACAAGTAATCAGAAACTATTACTACTACCAACTATTTCAGTAAGAAATGGAGCATTCAATAAAACAGAAAGCCGAGTCATATATTATGTAAGAAAAAGAAAAAAATTCCAAATTTTACGTACCCGGGATCGCGATTGCATATATCGCAGATCTCGACATTCATGGCCCAATCAGGACCAATAAGCATATCGCTCGTCGCTCGTTCCACCAAAAAATTCACCATCCTATAATTATTTTATTTACCGCCAAAAAATAAAATAGAAAAATTTCCGCCTCCGATCACTTGAAACAAAAATGTGACCGCCGGCGAATTCTCCGGCGTTAAAATAATTAACTGGCGAGATTCCAATTACGAATCAAATCATATGAGCTCTCTCTCTCTCTCTTGTATTCTGTTATGATGATTAGTTTATTTTCCAATGAACAAAATAGAATTAAAAAGAAAGTAGAAGTAGCCAATGAGAAGAGAACACGTATAAGTCTAACTATGTCAAGATTTCAAGTTGGTAAACTTTAGCCCCTAAGGTTTGTAGAAGTTAATTTTGATAATTCAAAATTTGCACCTTTTAAACTTTAAATGAAATTCCTACGGTAGTAATAGACTCTTATGGTTCGGTCTTTCCCTAAACACTGCACATTGCGAGAGCTTAGTATATCGGGCTGTCCTATACTCCTTCCGGACCATAATATGGCATTTTATTTATGGTTCAAAATGTCGATGGTTTATTAGAAACAGTCTCTTTGCCCTTCAAGGTAGGGGTAAGGCTGCGTACATTCTACCCTCCTCAGATCCCACTTGTGAGATTACACTGTGTGGTAGTGGTTGTTGTTGTTGTTATATTTTTGGTTCAAAATAAGTGTCCTTTTTACATATTCAAGAATGAATTAACTTTAGTTTTTCAAATTTGCCCTTATTTACATATTCAATGTGTCAAGTTAACAATATACAAATTTTAATTAAAGGTAATTTAGTCAAAAGACTTATTTTATTTTTAGGAGTTAGTACTTTCTTAAGGGGTATGTCAAAGGCCAAAAAAATTACTTCCTCCGGTCCACAATAACTAATTATTTTACATTTAGCACACCCATTAAGGAAATACGAACTCCTAGAGAAAAAAGATGTATTCACTAAATTAACCTTAATTAATTGTTGCATTGACACATTGGAATAGGTAAATAAGGACAAATTTTAAAAAAATAAAATTAATTTCTTCTTGATTATGTAAACGGACACTTATTTTAGACCAAAATAAAAGGGTAAAATGAATACTTATTGTGGATGGAATGAAGTACTTAATGTGGACCGAAGTAAGTTGTAGTACTATGGATTCCTTTTTTTCTTTTCCAATTAGTCCTTATTTATTAGTATTATGTAATACTTTCTCTGGTCCACTTTAATGGATTTTTTGGTTGTTTTCACACATATTAAGAAATCTACATTATAGTATTAATTAACAATAAAATTGACCATATTAACCTTACTTTATTCATTGGAAATATAACAAATACTTTTAGGTTGTTTACTATAAGGGCAATTTGGAAAAATGGAGTTATTCCTTTTTTTATATCTAAAAATAATAAAATATTATGGACCACAGAAAAAAATCAAAAAATTAATTAAAGTAGACCGAAGGAAGTAATTTGTAGCGTATCCTACCATTCAATAGACATAATATAAACATTCTCTTAAGTTTGGTCTAAGATATAAATGGTCTTATCTATAAGATATGAAATGAATTTATTGTTGAGAAGAATTTCCTCAAAACTATGTTCGAGAAGCATCTTCGCTACTATTTACAAAACTAATAATTATCAATGTGCGTTGCACGTTAATAATGACACTAGTGATTTAAATTTTTATTTATATGACGGAACAATAAAATTTAATTAATTATAAAAAATTTATATATAATAATATAACAATCATCTAAATGCCGAAAATATTATTACATTAGCATAATACATGAATTTATAATATAAAAGGATATCATCAAAAGTTATGCAAATGTATTTTTAGAATTTAGCTTTAATTGTACTTATTCAGACACTTGTATAGCATTTTGATTCTTAATAACATACTAACATTTTTACTTTGTGTTCTAACGCTCTTTTTATGGAATAAATTTATCTATCCTGAGATTTTTTTTTTAATTTGAATAAGAATTTTACTCATATGATTAATTTAAAAAATAATTTAATTGGATTTTCTTGCGAAATAATTAATTAAAATATTTAATTTATTAATTTTAACATAAAAATAATTTATTCTATGCTAATTCAGATCTTAATATTTGTTCATCTCTTGATCTTAATTATAATTTTATCCACGATAAATTTTATCTTTAAAAAGTAAAATATTGATATGACATTTCACTTTTGGATCTTTATGTCTATAGAATCACTAGTGATATTGACTCTTACCAACCAATTTTTTTTCTTTTTCTCATACATTTATATTCTTAAATATTTTCTTAGTTGTGTAACTATCTCCGTAAACATTCTCTCCCGGCGCACGTTAACGTGGCCTAGCTAACATGCACTTGGAAGTCATGGAAGGGAGAGGCAGACCTAAGAAAAACCAGACGAAGATTCCAATCAACGGCCATCGATCTACAGAAACAAGGAATGTTGTATTAGAATTGTTTGTGTCACCAAAAGGGATACGAATTGAAGAACCAACTGGAAATTGCACTCCTAGGAGCATGCATAGCGAGCTAAGCAAGGAGGAAGCAAATCTATCACTGGATAAAGGCAAATCGAAAGAAGTTGTTGTTACACCTGTAGTTGTACAAGCTGTAGGCGGTGGATCTGGGAACGAGAAAGCGCAAACACGAGTTATAAAACCAATCAATAATGGAACAGTACCATGCATCTCAAGTACTGTTGGAAGTGGAGAAAAAGGTGAGACAAGGAATGAGCAGAGGAATTAATCCTGGGCAAATGTGGTGGTAGGTAACAAATTGGCCATGAAAGGTATGAATTTACCGTTCATAGCCACGGTAGTCCAAAATGGCAAGAAAACAGCGAAGTTAGAAATTAAAGATGTTGAACTAGAAACTGAGAAATGGAGATCTACTATTGTCCTATATGTGATTGGGTAAACGCCTATTATTGGAGCAATGGATAGATTCCTGAGCTCAGTGGGTAAATTCTCAGTGAAACCGCAGATCTACTACCATAATGAAGGATATTTTGTGATAAGATTTAGCAATTTGGAGGAAAGAGACCAGGTGCTATACTCTAGACCTCACACAGTCAACAACAAGCCCATAATCATGAAAGCATGGTTAGAAGATTTCAATGTTCAAGATGAAGTTCTGAAAACTATTCCCTTATGGGTGGAATTCTCTAATCTACCTATCAATTGTTGGAGTATGAAAACATTAAGCAAGATAGGTAGTATATTGGGGAACCCGGTATATGCTAATGAATGCACCACTGGCTCAATTAGGATTTCTTATGCACGAATGCTAATTGAAATGGATATCACTAAAGCTGTACCTGGGTCTGTGAAGCTACAAGACCCTAAGGGGAGGCTAATTCAGTAGGAAGTTACTAATGACTGGGAGCCAAAATACTGTACAAAGTGTTTGAAAATAGGGCATGATTGTGCTGAGATTAAAACAGCACGACCACAAAGGATGATTCAGCAGAGGAAAATGATCAAAAATAAGCAAGTCTGGCTCAGAACAGATACAGATGGTGGAAATGAGAAGAAGGTGCATGAACAACAAAAAATAACTGAGACTACTCAGCAATCAGAGCCAGAATCAAAAGACAAAGATGCACAAGAAAAGGATGAGGGGTGGATAACAGTCCTAGGAAAATCAGCAGCTAGGGCAGCTAAGGCTAAACAACTTGAGGAGCAGGAACTATCTGGAAGCAATGGATTCCAAAGTTTGGCAAAGGACCAAACACATGATGAACCAGGTATAAGCAAAATGCAGATGAGGAACTCAGAGGTGCAGGAACTGTATCACCATCCCTATTTTATACTTGTATGAGTGTGATAACATGGAATGTTAGGGGGTTGAATAAAACATATAAGCAAAAGGAGATAAAGGAGTTTATAAAAGGGAATAATAAAGCAATTATAGCATTAGTAAAACACAGAGTAAAAGAGCACAAAGATGGAAATGGATATCCAATGTTAGTGCGAGTCACAAGTGCAGAATCTGGGTAATTTGGGACCCTAGGATATATACATTTGAACCAGTGGAAGTAGATGAGCAATTGATACATGGTCAAATCAAAATTATCTCAAAAGCAGTCATGTTTGGATTTTCAGCAATATATGGCCTACATACTATTAAAGACAGATTGAAGCTATGGAGTAAGATGAGATAAATTCATAGCATCCAGCAGGGTCCTTGGCTAGCTATGGGGGATTATAATGCTGCTTTACATCCTCAAGACAGACAATATGGATCTGAGGTACAAGAGATGGAAAGAAAAGACTTCAAAGAGTATATGAGGGACACAGGGATGAATGAATTACAATATGTGGGAAGGAGTTACACATGGACTAACAACCATACCTATAGTAGGATAGACAGTGGACTTATAAATGTCAACTGGATGATGACAATGCCAAATGTGAAAGTGCAGGTGCTAGAACCACTAGTATCTAACCATTCATCACTGAAGCTAGTGATTACTCAGGTACAAGGAAAGAAGAATAGGCCATTCGGATTTTTTAATTGCATTACTGATCACCCACAATTCATGCAACAAATTGAGATAGCTTGGAAGGAAAGGAGCACAACATGGATAATGCAGGCAGTATGGAATAATCTTAAAAGTGTAAAGGAGGTAATCAAAATAATAAACATACAACACTATAAAGGGGTAGATGAAAGGATAAAGGAGGTTAGGAGGGAGCTGCAGGGGGTGCAAGAGCAAATGAGCTTTAAACTACAGAATAAGGAGCTGGTTGAGAAAGAGAAAGCATTGAAGTGTAAGTTAGAAAAATGGGGAAAGATTGAAGAAAGTATATACAAACAAAGATCCAGAGTACAATGGTTGAAACTGGGGGATTCAAACTCAGCCTATTTATTTGCACAAATGAAGAATAGGAACCACTTGAATGGAATCCAAAGTCTAACAAATGATGGGGGAGCTCAACTTGTAATGGAGGATGATATAGAAGCAGAAATATTAGGGTACTACAAGAAGCTACTGGGGTCAAGAGCTGAAAGTATCCCGGCTATCAACCCAAATGTTATGAAGATGGGTGCAAAATTAAATAGGGAACAACAGATACAGCTGATCAAGCTAGTAACCAAGGAAGAAGTATGGGCGGCTCTGAAGGACATCAGTGACCTAAAAGCTCCAAGTTATGATGGGTTTAATGTTGTGTTCTTTAAGAAAGCCTGGCAAATTGTAGGAGAGG